TCCCTACCCTCTATGTTTTATGCTTTATGCCCTTGTTTATTTGTTTTTTTCTTTCTCTGGACTTTCTTGTGCTTTTGATCTCCACATAAAGCTGTGTGCTTAAGGCAGGGCTGGAGCAATTTACTTCTCATTTTTGTATCATGGCAACAATTATCTTGCTCACAAACGTGCCATTAAGAGTGTGAGGCGTGTTATCTGGTATGAAATATGAATTCTCTTTCATAAAGCTCAGTAATTAAATGAAAAGGAAATTAATGCAAATGAGTTTCAATGGGCAGTCAATTGCATTAAAGTAGCAAAAACAAAATAATTAAAACCATGAACAATATAAAGTATTAAAAGAAGTAATAGAAGAAAAATATAATGCACCCTAAGCATCAGTGTGAAAATTACATACCAGCTTATTCAAATGCAATCTTATGATTGAGCCAAAGTGCAAATGTACATTTGCACGCATGATGAGAGCATGTGCTTTAATATGGAATTTATGCAATTTACATTCTCTTCAATATGTCCTTCAGTTTCTTAGCTTGTTGAGCAGAAGAATATGTAACCAAACTTAAGCTGTTAAATAAATAATTTGTGACCCTGGACCACAAAACCAGTCTTAAGTCGCTGGGGTATATTTGTAGCAATAGCCAACAATACATTGTATGGGTCAAAATTATACATTTTTCTTTTATGCCAAAAATCATTAGGATATTAAGTAAAGATCATGTTCCATGAAGATATTTTGTAAATTTCCTACTGTAAATATATTAAAACTTAATTTTTGATTAGTAATATGCATTGCTAAAAACTTAATTTGGTCAACTTTAAAGGCGATTTTCTCAATATTTAGATTTTTTTTGCACCCTCAGGTAGTATCTCTGTATAGTTTCGGTTATAGTTTCAAATAGTAACTCAGTATATCCCGAGTATCTGTATCTCGGCCAAATATTGTCCTATCCTAACAAACCATACATCAATGGAAAGCTTATTTATTCATCTCAATGTCAATCATATATGAATGAAACTGGTCAGATTTCTGCCAAAAATAAAAAATAAATAAATTATGGCATAGTTTTATCATTAATTGATTTAGTTCAAATAATTGTATTTTCCAAATGCACTTATTCAGATTGGTCAGAATTGGCGATCTGTTCTTTGCGAAAACAGTTACATTTATTCAACTAAAAAGTAAAAACGTAAAATATAAACAAAAAATATGTTCTAAGAATTAAGTTCTGAAAATGTTATAGTAACATTTCTTAAAGTCTTTATAAAAATTGACCCTTATGACTGGTTTTGTGGTCCAGGGTCATATTTAAGATTTTAAAACACATTTTATTTCGAATCAGAATGTATAATATTGCTCATGTGCATGTGTTAATAATTACCTTATTTTTACAACAGTGTAAATGCCCTGTTGATGGTACAGACCTGCAGGGCCGTACGGCTTTGCATGATGCAGGTATGTGGATTTCTTTGCTTTTTAAGATGTTTAAGAAAATTTGATTGAATAGTATTTTAATGGAAAATATTAGGTCTAGACATTTAAAGCGGTCATAATAAAATAAAATAATTACATTTAAAATATTTTATTAATTTTATTTTTCATTAGTTTTGTTTATTTTTTATTTTATTTGTATTATTCCACTTAAAATGTTAGTAAAGTTTTCATAATTTATAATACAACATTTGCATTTGTTTTGCAGACCACAATGTATCGTTAAAGCTTCATATTGTTTTTTATTATTATTATTATTGATAAGCCTGGTCAATATGACCACTGCAAATAACTTTTTCAAAATGAAAAATCCTGAAAGTATAAAACAGTAACAACCCCTGCTCTTGAACTGTCCTCTCACTGCTGAAGCCTGAAAGATTATTTAATTCAGCCCAAATCCACTATTTAGAAAAGACTTGCATGTGCTCCATAGCCTTTAAGATGATTGCTGCTTGACAGCAGACTTGCTTTTTGGTTTGAGAAGACGGCAAAACTATGTATAGTTAATATAAAGCGTTCCACCAACAACTGCATAACAGCAACACATATTAATGCCACACTGTAATGTTGGACAGCAGATCTTTGGTATGTTTTTAGATTCGAAAACTCTTAGGGTCTTAGATTTGGAATTCTATACAACATGTATGTACTAGGGGTGTGCGATATTGACAAAATTATATCTCGATATTTTCTGGGATTTTATCGATAACGATAATTAGACGATATTTTGCTGAGTGTGTTATTGTGCTGGTACCTTAAGGACTGCCGAAGACAGCTGACTCCTAATGTTTTTAATATTCTTCATATTCTGTGTGGTGGTCAGTTTATACTGATAGAAATTAATCTTTTCCAATAAGTTTAAACTGATTTTTGCATTTTATGGGCATTTTTACCTTTATAAAGCCATTTTTTCTAAAAGTGTCCATTATCTTTTGAGTCAAATTCTTACATTTAATCAGGGAATTAGAATAATAAGACATTTGGGCTGTTACCAAGCAAATGAAATCAACACAGAAGCTGCATCTGAAGTGGCATTTAGATGTATTTACACACATGTATTTTGCTAGTCTAGACGTATGCGTGCGCTCTGTAGGGATGTTTTGAATGGTTATTGCAAAATACTCGATAATGTGAAATCGCACATCGTTAAAACAACGATTACGATATTATCGCAGACGATATATATCGCACACCCCTAGTATGTACACGTTTTAGGATTCTAAAGCAATAAACTTTTTATGAGCATGACCCTATGCAACATCTTATAGAAGTGTTTAATTCAATTCACTGCCATACAAATAATTTATCTGCAGATGACAAGCATACAGAACATACCACAAATGAGGCTCTTGACATTGAGTTCTTTTAGTTTCCTTCTTTGCATTTGGGTGTGTGTCAGATTTATTGTTGTTATTCTTTTGCACAGATCTTTCATTATAAATTCTTCAATTACTACATGCTGATGCATCAAGGACAGATATAGTGTCAAGCTGTCAGGTTTGATTGGAAAATTATAACGTCTTGTGTCTTGTTATTGTTTTTCAGCATATGTAGGCTGCAAATCCGCCATCAAAGTGCTCTGTGACAGCGGTGCATCTATTGATGCTGTCGACGCAGTAAGTAAAATAGGTTTTGAAACAGCACTTCATTGCACTCTGTGTAAGAAGCTATGTGAGAAAGGGAGATAAAAGAATTGATTTTGAAATTGAAACCGAAAAGGTGTTGCAATGTATGTGGCATTGACTTTTGGTACCTTTTTTAGGATGGTAGATCGCCCTTATTGCTTGCCGCCAAGATGAGCCAATCAGGAGCATGCCAGATGCTTGTGCAATATGGAGCATGCACTGTTCTTCGAGACAAGCAAAACAAGTAAGTATTTAAAAATGATCAGATTTTATGTTCTGTATTAATAATGATGCATAAAAAGTTTGTATAAATCAAATCTGTATAACCAACATGCCAGAAGAGGAAGATCACATTTTAAATACAAATGCATATTTATATTCAGTTCCAGTCTATATACCGATGTGAATCAGTATATCAGCTTGCAACCTAATATGAAAAAGGCCATCCCAGGTCATCCCAGCTGCATTGCGCCAGTGTCCTTAAGAAAACCATCTTCTCCATCTTTCAATTGAAGTGGCATACAGTTTCATTTGTACACTGAATGCAGAAAGCAGCAGTGAAGCTTCACCATATACTTTTATATGTTTTTTTTAATCAGCATTCAATAAAATAGCAACAATTTTTATCAATATTTGAAAAAAATATGTTATAAGGCTGCCAGAGTTAATTTAGTCTTTTTTGACGTGCTGATGGTCAAAAATGACCGGCCTTGTAAAAATGGTAAATTTCTCATTATGCTATATTATCACCAAATCTTGGATTCATTTTTTTTCAGTTAGCACAGGTTGGGTACTTCTGTTGGAACTGATTGTTCATAGGCCTCATTGATCCAATATTTGGATCCTAATAATATAGCATAATGAGAAATTTATGAGCAATTTTTTGTAGGTCATTCATTTTTGAACACCACAAGTAACAAGATACTCTGTGTGAGCAAGGTCATGAAGCTTTAGCGATAACATTGCGATAACGTCAGGAACAGTGTTGGATTTATTTAATAAATAATATAATAATATAATTCAGGACATCAAGCCATGAACTGCTTTTGATAAGCCATTTCCATAAATCTCATGCAAGTAAAGATATTTTTAAGCTTTGCAGAAGGAATCCGTTTGAATGGCCTTAGTTTAAAACCAACTGATCGATCATGTTTTTCTGTGTTTTGTTTGACCTGTTCACTTGTTCTGTATGTGTGTGTGTGTATGTGTGTTCTGACTAGGACTGCGCTAATCTTAGCTTGTGAGAATTCCTGTAAAGAAGCAGTGGAGATTCTCCTAAAGACTAAGGCAGATGTTTCTGCAGTGGACCTTAATGGCCATGATGCTTACCACTATGCCAGACTAAGTCAGAAACAAGACTTGATCACACTTGTACAACATGCCTTGGAAACAACCACTAAAGGTAACTTGTTCCTTGTCAAACAAATTTCCCCGTTTTCTAGCAATATACATGTATAAATTGAAATTAAATGTTGTTTCACTGTGTCAGAACACCATATAATCTTGTGACCAGCAAGGCTGTTTTTTTTTTCAGAAAGGCATTGCAAAATAGTGGTCTTTTTATCCTTACATGTAGCAATTACTGAACTTGCTCTTGTAGACAGCAGGTCAGTTGAGTTTTAAATTTACACCTGCCGTATCAACCAGCACACTAAAAGGAAATCATTTTCAAGAGGTGACTGGTCTGTCTTCCTTTTCCAAGGACTGTCTTCTTATTTAAATAGAGAGGCCTTTCCAAGAGAAAGGCTTATTCCAAGCAAATCAGATGCTTTTTGTAAGAAGGTCACTTGGGTCCCTGAAAAATGCATATCATACCCTTTAAGCCTTAATATCTCCAGATAATTAAATGCAACAAATGCTTATCTGAAATGTTATGCATTAAAAACAGAAACATCATGTGCAAAAATATTTCTCCAATTTTGTTTTCAGCTAAAGAAACTGCAACTGTTACACATCAGATCCAACAGGTAACATTGACATTTAGCTGACAGTTTAACGGTTTAAACGCATTTGCATGCATATTTGCAGTCAAGTTCAAGCTCTTTAGACAGGAATGCAGTCAACAGCAGACAAAACGGTCATTGGTTTGCTGCACTCAAACTGAGTTAATCTGTTTATTGAACTTACTGCCATCTAGAGTTTGAAACACTAATCGCAGTACACTTTAATTAGAGCCATCCTAATACCCAACGATTGGTGTCGCTGTCTCTGTCTCTGCAATGATGGAAATCAATTTGATGAAATTTAATGTTCTTCAGCAGCTGTTGATGGAGAGGAATACTGATTCTCATGCTCATGTGAATAAGTCATACATTTGTAAAATGATTTGTTTTGTTTGCTGTATTATTACTGGGAAAAAAAAGATTTAGTAGACATAAGGAAGTGCTTGCACTATTCAGTGTGAAGAAGGATAAACATTTGAAGATGCATCATGATATCATCTCGTAACAAAATTAAAAAATATAATAAAATGTATGTAGTTTTAACTTTTACCTCGAATCTGATTGGCTGAGAGTTCTTTCCAACCATGAGATATTCATCCAGTATCACCACGGGAACCATTTCTTACAGCCCCAAACCAACTATAATTTTATAAACAAAAAAGATATGCTCTGCAGCCAAAGCAAGTCAGTGATGCTGTACATAGACATTTAGTTACCCTGAATATTCCTTTAATAGTGTATCTACAATAAAATAGCACAGATGATGTTTCTGAGTATCATAGTGTTTTTCTCTCCAAATGCAGGCTAAACCCCCATCAGCAGGAATTGGCCGGACCAAAGCAGGATCAGTAAAGACTGCGAAACCTTTGTCAGAGCCACTAACAGTGAGTTTCTTCAGGGGATAACTTTTAAATTAAGGCTATGCTATCAGGCAGTCATTTTCCTCTCGTGAAGCTGATTGTGGTCCTGTGATCAGTTGTGAGTGTCACCAGTAAAGGGTTGTGTCTGAATTACAGAGGGAGCATGGCAGTCAGTCTACTGAAGGTAACTTGGGATGTGTGTTTTTATTTAGTTTATTTTTTATCATGGCAGAACATCAGGATTGCAATCAGTCATATCACAGAAACTTTTCAGGTCTGGGCTCTAAAGTTTTAAACATGTTTTCTGTTCCCTGAAGGAAAAGGTGCCAATCAAAGTCAGAATCTGGATTCTACACAGGTACCCCGTCTAACCTGACTTGATCTGTGTCTGCTGTGTTCACCCAAAAATGAAAATTTGATGAAAATGTACTCGCCCTCAGGCCATTCCAACATGTAGATGAGTTTGTTTCTTCAAAATTTAGCATTACATTACTTGCTCACCAGTAGGCTTTTCGCTTCACGTTTACTGATGGACTGGAGTTCTGTGTATTATTCTGATGGCACCCATTCACTGCAGAGGATCGATTGGTGATCAAGTGATGTAATGCTACATTTCTCTAAATTCGTTTAACAATTTTCAGCAAATCTTCGCTTTTGATTAACTATTCTTTCAATGTCAGTGGCATTAATATGTATATTAAGTATGTGACCTTGATATGTTGCACACTTTGTCCTTTTATTAGGCAATTAAACTAAGTTTTACATTAAGGTCTTCACAGCTAAACCAATCAATCATTGAGTATTTTTTGTGTTTTCCAGTATAAATATAAATGTACTTGTGATACAAAAATTGAGAATATAATGTTTTCCTTCTATATTTTTATATATAATAAACAGTCATAGTAATAATTTATTAATATAATATAGATTTTTATGCGGTGCACCATCTAATATAGTTAAGTCATTTTTATAATGAGAGATTAAAGAGTCATATCCTCACTTGACATGAACCATATTACATCTTATTCTCATCAAAATGAAAAATGACTGCAGTTGAATTAAAATAGACAAACAAATTATTTCCTACTTCATCATTACCCTTGTGAATTATTCAGGTCAGGCCTGCACAGTCAGCTCCTGTGCCAGTGAGATCTGCTCCGATGGAGTTATTGCCTGGTGAGGTGGAGGTCCTTAGGAGAGAACTAAGAGATTCACGAAGGAGGCAAGAAGCAGCAGAGGCGGAGGTGCACAGGCTGGACACGGCGCTGGCTCTGCGTGCTCAGGAGTACGAAGGACTGAGGAGAAGCAGTGAGCAAGCTCTGCATGCGGCCCATAACCGGTCATGGGAGCTGGAGGAGGCCCTGGGCGAGGTGCAGAGGAGGATGGCCGGCTCGGAAAACCGAGTGAGACAGATGCAAGCTCATCTAGTGGCCGTCAGGGAGCACTTGGTGGAAGAGTTGAGAGTCCAGCTCCAAGAGGCCAAAGGTCAGCGAGAGGCATCCGTAGCTGAACTGGGGAGGATGCAGAAGGAGCTCATCCAGAGCAGGAGGGAGGTGGAGCAGCAGAAGGAGAACCAGAGCTCCTTAATGCAGGAACTTAGTCGGCTTTCCCATGAGCTCCTCAGCAGAGAAGAGCAAATAAACACATTGAGGACCAGGTTAGCGGAAATGGAGACACAGCAAGCTGAGATGTTGTGTAAAGAAGCTCAGACCCCATCAGAATGGTGCCTCACTCATGAGAAGAGCACCATGACTGACCTCACCACAGAGACCAGTGAACCAACCATAGATCTGGAGAACTACATTAGCAAGAATGAGCACACAGTCGTAACTAGCTCACTGAAAGAAGCACTGCAACAGGCTGAAACCAAAGCTGACGAGTCTCTACAGAAGAACCAGAGTGCCCATGAGGAGAACCAGAGCCTGCTGAGAGAACTTCAAGAACAAAAGACTGAGCTGGACACCATCCAGGAGGCTCTGCAGGCTAGGTTTGTTCCTGTTGCCTTAGTGGAGGAAAAGGAGAAAGAGGTGGAGCGACTCAAACTGGCCCTTGAAGAGATGGAGAAGCGACAAAACCAGGCCAGTGTGAACATCTCAAACATAAAGGATGAGGTTATTCAGAGAGAAGAACACAGACAGCCATGCACAAGTCAAGTACAGCATAACCAAGTGTCTTCTTCTACAGGGAGTGACAGAGCAGAATGTGAAGTCAGTAGAAGTGCAGTGAAAAATGTGCAGCCAACTGAAATAGAGAGCAAAAGTAGCACAACTGAAGACCAGGGCAGCACATTGCAAGATCAAGTTGAAAAGGTGATTATTGCTTGCATATTTGTTATATTCATTTTTCTTGCAGATCATCAAACTTGTTTTATTTTTTTCCTTCAGAAAATGTAAAAATTTAATTACATATGTTCTCTGTCTCAGTCATCAGTGGAGCATGAGGGACAGAGGTTGGCTCAGGTCAACATATCAGAACCCATCAGCTCCTGTGAGCCATCACAGTCTGACAGCTCTCTCCAGGCTCAGGTCCACATCCTACAACAGCAGCTAGAGGTTAGTAGAGGGTAGTTTTGTTTTGTTGATGCTTTCTTGAACTAGAGACCTCAGTGATTTTAGTGCAGATTGGCTCAAAATGAGTAATTGTATAGGGTTGTGATAAGATTCTTTGGTATATTAATTTTCCAAAAATTAAAGGGATAGTCCACCCAAAATTGAAAATTCTAAATGCTGGTAACCAAACAGTTTTGATTCCCATTGATTTCCGCTGTATTTTTTTTTTTGTCCATACAATGGATGTCAATGGGAAACGAGACTGTTTTGTTACCAACACTTTTCAAAATATATTTGTGTTCCACAGAAAAGAAAAAAATTTGTAATCATGTACTCATAATCATTTTGTTCTAAACCTATATGACTTTCTTTCCTCTGTGGAACACAAAATGAATCTGGGCCAACATGAAGTGAGAAATTTATGACAGAATTTTCATTTTTGAGTGAACAAATTCAATTTACAGTTTTAATAATCCTCTTGGAGAAAATAAAAATTGGGTTAAAAAATACTGCACAAAAATACAACATCATAAAACAAGAACTAATAAATTTAAGAAACCCAAGACAATAAAAAAACGATCTGGTATAAAAATGAGTACAAATTTATACAAAGTGAATTTGTGATACTAAGAACAGAGTTTGATTATTATTTAATTATTAAATTATGTTTTGTTTTGATTTAAGGAATATTCTGTTGCTTGTGCTGTCTTTGTGGAGAAGAGAAAGCACAGCATATCCAAATTCACCAAATTTAAATTCAGTCTGCTAGTAGAGTTTTTGTGCCTTTACACAGACAGACATCTTTTGTTCAGCTCCATGGGGATGGAAATATACTGGCAATATGTTACAGTAGCATGTTTCTTAGCAACAAGGGCATCAGTGGACATGAGACATCCATGAGATGGGTGGCTGGAGAGGTTTTTCAGATGCTTTTACCGTAATCCAACAAAACAGAGCACTTTATAACCTGTATTGTCCATTTCTAAATGAAATGTTGGTTTATGCAGTATTGTTTTTTCTTAACCTGAAGAGAAATCAATGCATTATGAACTGCTTGTTTTCCTTTCTTATTGCCAGGACTGTGAAAAACATTATAGACATGTGCTTTCAATATACCGAACACGGTTGCTCAGTGCAGCGCAGGTAACATTTTATTTTTGTATATTGTCTTATTATCTAATGTGCTTTCAAAAGTACTGTAGACCCATGAAGATGGTAGCATTTATGTTCAGAAGCTGTGGTTTTCTTTTGCAGGGTTACATGGATGAAGAGGCCAGAGTGGCTCTGATTCAGATTGCCAAGATTAGAGAGGAGTGTGTGTGTTGAGCATTCACTGTGCTGCTGTTCCTGAATGTGTGTGTGTACTACTGTTCAAAAGCATGGGATTTTTTAATGTCTTTGAAAGAAGTCTTATGCTCACCAATGCTGCCTTTACTTGATAAAAAATACATAAAAACAGCAATATAGTGAAATATTACAATTTAAAATAACTCTTTTCTATTTAAATATATTTTCATTTTTATTTTTCTCTAATGGCAATGTTCAATTTTCAGCAGTCACTACTTTATTCATTATTCAGTGTCATGTAATCCTTCAGAAATCATTCTAAAATGTGACCCTGGAGCACAAAACCAGTCTTAAGTCGCTGGGGTATATTTGTAGCAATAGCCAAAAATACATTGTATAGGTCAAAATTATCGATATTTATTTTATGCCAAAAATCATTAGGATATTAAGTAAAGATCATGTTCCATTAAGATATTTTGTAAATTTCATAAATATATCAAAACTTAATTTTTGATTAGTAATATACATTGCTAAGAACTTAATTTGGACAACTTTAAAGGCGATTTTCTCAGTATTTAGATTTTTTTTGCACCCTCAGATTCCAGATTTTCAAATAGTTGTATCTCGGCCAAATATTGCCCTATCCTAACAAACCATACATCAATGGAAAGCTTATTTATTCAGCTTTCAGATGATGTATAAATCTCAATTTCGAAAAATTGACACTCAAGACTGGTTTTGTGGTCCAGGGTCACATATGCTGATTTGGTTCTTAAGAAACATTTCTTATTATTAATGTTAAGAACATTAGTGCTGCTTAATATTTTTGTGATACTTTTTTTTTTCAGTTCAAAGTTCAAAAGTTATATATATTAGTAGCTAATTCTTTAACAGAAAACTGAAATTCAAATTTGGTGTGATTTAGATTTTGTATGTTCCCCTTGTATGTTGTTCTTTGTAACTAATTTAATCCACAAAATAAACTATACAATATTGAAATGTAGCTACATTTGTTTTTGCCAATCTAGTTTTTTTTATAAGCCATTCTAGTTAAATGTAGTAACTAAGACTTACATATATACACACATTTTTAAAAAACATTTACTTACAATTCAAAAAAAATATTTGAAAACAAATTTTCGATTTTGCCACAACCCTTACCAAAAAGAAGTATACTTCAAGTTTATTTTAGTAAGTATACTTAAGTAAAGTTCAAGTATTTTTTTTAAGTATACTTTATGTAGTAAGTATACAAATATCAGTGTACTAGTAGTATACTTGTAAGTGTACTATTTCAATATTCATTGGGACTAAATTGGCCCACTTTCTAGTATATAAAAGTATACTTTAAGTATAACAGTATGTATAACATATGTTTTTAGTTTGTACTGCAACTATACTAAAAGTGAACTTATAGGTATACTGATAGTTTACTAATTAAATACTTGTAGTAGCATTTTTAGTACACTGAAGTATAGTCTCTATATATATAGTATACTATATATAGTTTTATACTGCAAGTATACTCGTAAGTTTTTTTTTAAGTGAACTTTACATCATAATTTAAGTATACTACTATGTTATCTGAACATACAAACATCAAAAGAAAGAACAGGGTATCTGCTTGTAAACAAAAACATTTTATTCGAGCTTCGTGCATTCTTTTTTGTTAACACTTGAATGTGGGTAAGTTTCATAAATAAATAAACAATTTTGGACAAAACGCTGAAAAAAAGACTATGAATTGGATTCAGAATGATAATCGAAACATAGATGGAGTCGATCAACACCCCAAAGCTTGACAGTCATTACCTCTTCATGGGTCGACATTTTATTCCATAAGGTGTTACACAGTTTTGATGCTGTTTTATGTCTGATCGTGCTACATTACATGTGGAAGCGTCTGTTGTTTCGGTTTCTTCTTCGCTTGTGTTTTGGAAATTCTGTACAGAAGATGTGTAATAGCGCCCCCTACCGTATAACAATGAAAACATGAATTCCCAGAACACAAGTATAGATCAAATATATTTAGACTTTTTCTAAGTATGTCAAATATACTTAAATGTAATTTTAAGTATATTTCAGAGAAGTACATAAAGCACATTTCTGAGAAGTACATAAAATGTAGACTGAAAGTATACTTTCCTATTTTTATAAGAAATATACTAATAGCACACTTGAAAAAACGTATTTTTCGTAATGGAAACACAAGACATGCTTCTGTTATCTTCCTAAGTGGATTTATTTCAATCCTTAAAGCAGTTAAGAAAAGAATGCATTAAAACTCTCGAAATTACGTGCAATATATTGATAACTCTCCTTAAAGGGGTCATATGATGCGATTTCAATTTTTCCTTTCTCTTTGGAGTGTTACAAGCTAGAAGAAAATATGGGGGACTACCTGTCAAAAGTGATTGATTTATGACCCCAGGTGTCAAATTGACCCCTCTGACGTCCTGTCCCTGTTCCTGTTTCCTGATGTTTATGACCCACAGATATCAAATTGAAACCTCTGACCACCTGTGTCGATCTGACACCTCTGACCTCCTGTTCCTGTTTATGGCAGTGGCCATTTTGTGATCATGATGTGATTCAACCATTTTTGTTTTACCATGTGTTATGAAGTGTTACAGCAATCTCAGATTGGGTTGGTCCTTCAAGCAGTCTAGTTCTTTCACACCTTTGAATAAGAACAAGAATGAATGAGATGAGAGGAATCACACTCTTATGTTTTGGGATGAAAGACTCTTCCAAACATTTGTCGTTATTGTCATCAGTGGTTGCTCAGGTGGCTCAACAGATCAAAATGGCAAACAATTATCTAAGTCAGCAACTATCTAATCCATCCATGCTTCTGAAAAAGTGTTATGTCTGGGCATGTTCTTTTTAGACCCTAAGAGTTGCAGCACATTTTCCACTCATGAATGCAAATGAAGAAACAATAAAATAGTTTAAGAAATAAAACAAGAAAGTTCTAAGAGAACTTGCATGAGTTAAAGTGCGATCCATGGAGTCCAGTTGTCTATCTGTGAATGAAGGTGTTCCCAGACATGCATGCTCAGTTCCTGTCTGTGGACTGTGTTGTTGTGTATTTGGTTTGCAATGTGTTACCCTGATTGGTAGTATCAAACATGTATTGAAGAGTTAGCTCGGGATGTAACTTTTCACATGAATGTCCTAACTAGTCTAAAATCATCCTTTCTTCAAATGTCTCCTTCCTGACTTTCTAGGCCTGTACAACAGTGTTTATGTCAACACCTCACTATGGTCTGATCTATAGGCTATATGTTAATGTCTTTTACCTTCTGAGCAGGAAAGCGCCAGCTACCTTTCAGTGGTGGAAAAAAAACTGTGTCATGTTTGGGGGTTGTGCTTTGTTTTAGGTTGAAAGGCATCCAAACGCATGTCTACCTGATATACGGAGCTAAATGTTAATGGCAAAAAAATAAAATAAAAATCAAAGCATTCGCAAAGACCATTACTCTCCATAGGCAAAACATTTTCAAAGTTTTTAAATTCCTTGTTTTATTGTTCTTTTCTTTTATTTTATGTAAAGCACTTTGAATTACCATTGTGCATGAAATGTGCTATATAAATAAACTTGCCTTGCCTTGCCTTGTTACTGTTCAACATGTTTAACATCTCATTACTCCATTGTGAAGACACGTACTGTATAAATCACAGTTTTTCACTGTAGTAGGCCGACTCTGAAACCGGACCAAACAAAAATTAGCTTGAGCCTTAGTTGTAGCACTTTGAAAATTGTTGTGTTTTTATCTTTCTATGATTTGTTAGTGCTGTTCTGAACAGCGGTTTCATTTTAGCATCACAATTCATATTGTATTGTTGTGTGTGATTGTAAAAGTTTTGTGCGTGAGTGTCTGTTTTCCATGTTCTTTGTCAGGAAAAGCCATGCTGCTTTTGCATTTTGCAAACAGTTCTGCTGTAATGTTAGCGAGCTCTTTGTGTTCTTGGCTTCTCTTTGTTCATATACATCAGTATTCCTTGAATTTGCTCGATTAAAATGAAGTATTCAACACAATTTGTGGGAAATGTGTATGAATATAGAATGCAGCACAAGGATCTTTGAAAATATTTTATCTTGAAATATCCATGTAGCACTCTGAATCATTTAAGACTTCTTTTAAATGAATACAATTAACACATTTTTTCATGAGCTCAGACACATTGTTTCATCAACAGATCACAAAAGATAAAAAATGTGATGAACATAATACATTCAAAACTATACAGCAACAATATCTTTAATGTATTTGAAATATTTTAATATGGAATTGTCACTAAAAATCTTTAACTGTACTTAGCATCTTAACATTATCTTTGGTATAGAAGTTCAAGTATAACCATCATGAAATGAATGTTATGGATCATGGATCTTATTATGAACAATCCTCCAGTACATTTTTTAACCTCTAATCTTTAATCAAAAAATCTAGCTGTGAAAACGACAGAATTCTCTTTGGTGACATATGCACGGCTTCTCTAGTCATTGAGTTGTATTAAACTCCACCCCCTGTAGAACTCCTTTACCCGCCTCCACTTTTGAGTGCAACGCCCCCATCTCAACAACCAACCAAAACAACGGCCGAAACGTAGAAACAAGACCTTTCCCCCAAACATTGTATTTTGTTCGAATGTACAGAAAATCCGCCACTACTTCCTCGTGACTACGGCTACGCTACACCCCTGTGAGCGAAGAGCGGCTGTTCAGGATAAACTCTGCAGTTATCGCAGGCTTTCCTAGATCTGCGACCAATACCAGGTTTGACAGCACGGTTGACGGAACTACGGCAACATCTGGTTGATCAAAACATTATCTGCATGGACCGACAGAATCAGCTTCAACAATCCAATTTGTCTGAGCCTCAGGCACTCTGCAATTTTTCAATTAATAACTCTTCGGGGGATCTGAACCATAAACCGGAAAGTGAAACCGAAATTGCACAAGGCCTGGACCGTCGTGGATTAACCCTTTCGCACGTGAGTTTAAAATATTCTAGCTGAGCCCCCAGCGTGAGTATTTTTAGGCGACCGTTATTTTAAAATGTATCGCCTTATTGTTTCCATGGCGACG